ATTTGATAATCGTATCGTTTGCCTTACGAAGCTCTGTAATAGATGATATGATCGCGTTCAGAGAGGCGCAGAACTGTCAACTGATCACCACTTTGTTGGCACGTTATGCTATAAGAGTTGGGGTACCATGCGAAAACCTGGTGGTAGAATGAACCACAGGAACAACCATAGGATGAAATGGGAAGCATTTTCTTCCACAGATACAAGAGCGAAACTGACAGAACGGCAGTTTGAACAAATCCCAGTGATGACCACTGATGTGGAAACCGAGTGGAAGCTCTTTATGAGCGGCTTACTCATGGTTGCCCCGAATGCTGCGGTTTTAAACCGGTGACCCTGTCACCTTGTCAAAAACTTCCTGGTGGAGGAACATCTGGCAGTTAAAGAGAAGGTTGCATTCAAGAAATGGCTTGGAAGTAAAGAGCCTTCAGCTCGCGTGGAATATGTACAAGCGCGGAAGGCTACATCCGAAGCCATCGTGGCGAAAGCCAAAGCTGATTCCTAGAAGTTCGGTTAGGTGTTGGAATCAAATTTCCACTCATCAAAACTAGGTATTCTGGCTGACCATCCGCCGTCTCCAAGGTGAAATGAAGGGCAGTCTAAGAGTCTTGAAGAACAGGTCTGAACACCCCTTTATCCCCTTACTGAAGATAAGGACATCCTTCGACGAATGAGAAAGTACTCTGAGGAACTCTTTACGCCCAAGCAACCGCAGGAAGACTCACCTGAAAGGCGAAATCACACATACCGTGAAATGTTTGAGAATTGAAATGGATGCTGGAATCAGTGAAATCTCTCCTGAATTGTTTGTAGCTCTAGGCAGACACCGCATATGTTGGCTTATACGTGTCTGTCAAACTGCAGTGGCTGCGGGGAAGACACCGGCGGACTAAAGAACGAGGGTTGTGCGACTGCTGATCAAGAGAGAAAATACAGGGTGCTCCAGTTATCTAGGCACTATCTTATTGAGCCTTTAGAACAAGAAGAGTCGTATGGCTTCCGGTCTGGCCGAGGTGCATCTGGCGAGATATTCGCCTTATGCCATATTTTTTGAGAAATCATAGGAATTGGCTCATCTGGTGTGTATTTGCTTTGTAGATGTAGAGAAATCCTCTTTCCTAATCCCGTGCAACAGTTATTGGGAATGCTTGAGAACATGTGGGATCGATGGCCTGTTACTACGAGCCG